ACATCCAGCAAGCATTTGTTGAATTCCTACTATTGGACACACAGTATGCTGGCCTCTGAAAACATAAAGATAGCGAGATATGGTCACTGTCCTCAATCAGCTCTGCATGTGGCCAAAGACAAATATGTCAGCAAAGACAACACAACATGGACAGTGCTGTAAGCTCCACACAGTAGAGCGATGTTCAAGGAATGTGGCTCACCCAGGGCTTGAGGAAGAAACAGGTTGATTTTGTGGAATATGATGGATGGGAATAAAAAAAAAATCTTCCTGTGGGAAATTCAAGGACAATTAGACAATCAAAGTACACGTGACAGTCTTTGTGACATTAAATGTTACAAGTAGTTATTGCTCCAGCTTGTTCCTGCCCTTCAGAATGACAATCCTTGGCCAATTAAAATGCCAGAGTAGCTGTTCCTTTAGGCAAATATGCAAAAACACGTGTTCATGTGACAAACTTACCCACCATGTTTTCCAGGCAAGACTTTAACATGGGCTTTGTTTTTGTCATAATAAAAGTCTGCCACTTGGCCACGCTGGTTATTTATAACTTTGCTGAATGTTTTTTTATTCTATTAAACTTCACTTAATATTAACTTCTACTTCTTTTCAGGTATCTCATATTATTTTTAAAATGGACACTAATGGAACTGTACATGCAGTCTACTTTCATGATTATTCACTTAAATTATGAAGAATTAATTTTAGATTGAGAGATTACCAATTGTTCCCATTGTGAGTGGTTCACGATAAGGAAGAGAAGCAGGAAAGGGAAGGGGAGTTGGGGAGGGGAGCAGGGAGACAGACAGGCTAACTTTTTGATAGATTTTTTTTCCTTGTTTTTTTTAATCCAAATAAAGTGCATGAACATTTTGCTCTTATGTGGAGAAGCCACATGTACTGGATTAAGGACGTTGGCATTCATCTTGTGCTTTTTCTACCACACCCCACTGCTCATTATCCCTCCACCAGTCTGGGATAGGGTTTTCCTATAAATTTGTATTTCTTCTTCTTTTACATCTTCCGCTACATTTAGTACCAATCCCATGTTTGTCGTGGATGAATGTGGTATTCACAGACGAGCATTCTTAGAAGGTGCACGGTGAGCTCTCTGTAAGAGCCAATTGCAGGACGCAGGGATTGATCACAGGACACAGGGACTGACACCGATGGTCAAGAAAGGGAGGACACAGGTTTGGCTGAAATGAGGCCAGGAGTTAAACCAAAGATCAAAGCGAGTGACTCAGCTGCACTCGGCTCACAGCAGGCGTTTTTCTCATTTTCAGTCGAATCGCATCTTCTGAATAATAGCGAAAATATTCTTGAGATGTTATCATTTGTGATGTTTAATTAGGATGGTCTGAGTTTGGGTAAGCATTTCTCTACCAGGGCCTTTATTTTAATACTTAACCCAAAACAGAGTAAACTGCAGCAAATGAGCATATCAAGGGCCCAGGTGTGATTTTTACACAGGGCTGCAGATTGAACGACATTTTCTTTTTTTCTTAATGAGGTTCCTTCCATTTCAAGATTTTAGTCTTTTTTCTCCTCTTATTGCCATCGTTGGTTTCTTCTGTTCACTCCAACAACTTTATCTCCCTCCTCCTCTCTCCTCATTGTCACTGGGACTGTCACATCCCTGTCATCTTCTACTCCCTTGTCCTTGCCACCAGCAAGGTTTACGGATTTTTATACTTCAAACCTACACTTGGTGACTGAGAGGGGGAGACAGCTGCCTGCCTCCCCGACCTTGAGAATGACGAACATTTGGCGTAGGGTTAAGAATGGTTGCGCGGGGGGCTTTACAGTGTGCACGGGAGCTGTACAGGAAAGGAACTGACCAAGTGCATCCAGGTCTGTTGTCCTGGCCCCAGTGTGCCCGACCCCACACATCTGGTGAGCAGCTCCAGGCTCCACTGATTTGTCATTTTGTCCAGCACGTCACAGGAACAGAAAGGGAATTCCTGCACGTCTGCCCACGTCTGTTCACATCTGTTTCGGTAAATGACTGAATATAATATACTCTTATTAGATAACATATTTGGCAAGATGATCACCCTGTATTCTTCTAAAAATTCGACCAGAATAACTTGTCCTAAAAATTCGACCAGAGTAACTTGTTTTAATTTTATAATTCCAAAAATATGTGTGTAATAACTAGATCATATTTTAATTGACCATGATATGAAATCTGAGCTAGATTTTTAATTTTCTCCTGAAGTGATAAACTTTTTTATTTTCTGCTCTTAACATTTTCCGGATCATATCTGTAGATAATTTCTGTGTGTAGAAATTATCACAGTTTCACACACACAAAAGCATTGATTTTAATAATTTTCCCTTAAAGGAAGACACTAGTCCTAGTCAGTCAGGAAGCACATGCATAAATATTGTCTTAATTTGCGAGAATCAAACCCAGTGCCTTCATTTAATGGAATCTGAGCTAGATGAGATATTTCATTTAAATCCTGTCAGTTTACACATTATTACAGCTTCTCCTACAGAACACAAGCCTGATTATTGTGTTCTGTGATATTAATATTATTAGAAGTGGCATGCATTAAACAGTCGTAGTAAATATTTGCAGGTGAATGCTCTCTGGCTAAATGAGCTGCTAAGACATTGCGTGTTCAGACCATTAAGGTGCATCTGACTGGATGACAGATTTAACGCCACCAACCCCTATCCAAACGCAGTCTTGCACAGAAGCCTGAAGTGCAGATCTGGCTCCCGCTTTGCTAGTGGGAAGATGAGCTGCAGAGCTGGGCCTAGTGCGCCCCCTGCCGCCAGCCAGCGATTCTGCTCCTGGCAGCCCCTGCAGCCTGGGACACACCGGCTGGGGCTCCAGGACAGGTGCTCAGGGAAGTCAGGGAAGGGCCCAGGAAAATCGGCCCACGGAGTGAGCTGGAATCCTTGCCCTGCGTGTACCCCCGTGGGGCATGTGTGCTGTAGGCAGACAGTCTTTGTCTTTTTATTTCAGGAACTGGAAGGAAAAAAATCCCATAGTGGAAAGAGGAGAAAGCAGGGGATTTTATTGTTGTTTATACAGACATAAAGAAATCGATTTTCAGTCATTAAAATGTTTCTGAAAACTATTATGTTTTCTTCATTGAAATAACAAGAAGCTCCAACATTTATAAGTCCTGTTCCAAGCGCTTTATCTAGCTCCTCTAAACCGCTGGAAAGATGAAGGAGGCAAGTGCTGTCATTATCCCCATTTCAGATGAAGAAATCGAGACCAGAGAGGACAATTAGCTCACAGAAAGTCTCACAGCACTGGGGGCTTGAACCCTGGCCACCGGCTGGTTCTTTATCCTCTGACCTCCTGTCATCCTGTATTATAGAATCTCACTTAATTGTACCGACATTTAACATACGGCATTGTTTATGGCAACAATATTTTTAGGAAAGATGCAAAAAGAAGATGTGAGAGAGGCAGAGAAATAAAAGTGCCGTTTATTAGTGCTACTCTGCAGTATTCTTTATTTGAGTTGTATTGATGTCACACCAGGCTCACCATTGATTAACTTAGTGGTGCAAGTCAAAGAGTATGATTTATTTCTTTATTCTTCTGAATTTTTTGAAATCATCATTTTTAATGTTGGCCTTGGGACCATAATCTCTGTAGCATGAAGGTTAGGATGTCGATCCCTGGAAGACTCTTATGTCCTCCTTGTCACATCTGATAGTATAGTTACCCATGGCAGCACCTACACAGTTGGTGTCACCCACACCTCAGTGGAGGTCTCTGTGCTGCTGCCCTCTCGCCTGGAGGCCGAGGAGAACCGCAAGGGCGCCTCCCTGGAGCGGCGGCCCTCAGGCTGGGTGGGCCCGTCTGCTGAGGCCGTGCAGAGCAGCGTCTGGCCCAGGGGATGTGGGGAGAGAGCGCCGGCCACTGTTCCCCAGAGCCCTCGATTCCTTCTTGTATAAAGAGAGCTTCCCCAACGCCGGTATTCGTGGCAGCGGCTCTCTCAACAGCCAAGAGGTGAAGCAACTCAGTGTCCGTCGACAGATGAATGGATAAAAACGTGATCAATAGATACACTGGAATTGTATTCAGCCTTTTAACAGAAGGAAATCCTGCCGTAATGCTGATGGAACTGGACATTATGCTGAGAGAGTGAGGCAGTCACAAAAGGATAACTACTGCATGATTCCACTCGCAGGATGTGTCTAGAGCCGTCAAAGCTAAGGGAACAGGGAGTAAAATGGTGGCTTCCGGGGCCTGGAGGAGGGAGAGGTGGGGAGTTGTTCAATGGTACAAGGTTTCAGTTTGGTGAGACTAAAAGTTCCAGAGATGTTTACAACAATGTGAATATAGCTGTCGCTACTGAACTGTACACTTGAAATGGTTTAGAGGGTAAACTTTAAAATATTATGTGTTTCTCAACACTGTTAAAATTTGTTTGGAAATTTCTTTTTAAAAAGAGCTTCTCCATGTGGGAGAAGGCCCCACGAGGGGGGCTGAGGTGAAGCCATCACCCCTCATGCCCCAGACCTTTGGATGTGGTCCTTGTAGGTACGGGCCTCAGACTGACTCTGTGTTCTGGGCTGTGTTCTTATGACCAGATAATGCAGCAATGGAAGGGGTGGAAGACAGGTTGATGTGTTTTCCATACAAATCAGCTGAATTTATGATAACTTTCATCGTAGCTATGATCAGAAACCCAACATCTCCCTCAGGCTGATTTAATTAACTAACATTTTTCCATTGCCAAAAGAATCACTTAAAAACGTAACTTCAGGTCTATGTTAAAAGACGTCCGAGCACCTCATACCTCTGTCACAGAAATTGAATTTGTTCTCAATTTGTAGCAATAATGCCAACATAATTTTAATAAGGTTTGTGACTTGGTATGGGTCCCCAGGGGAGGACAGAATTCATTTGTTTAGTCTATGAACAGCGTTGGTGCTTCTTGTGGTTTTAAACATCGTCCTTAAGAAACTGAAGAGAATACATAAAATGGCAACGCCTTTCTTTTTCTTTGTCTCTCCTCTAGCAATGCAGCAAAAAAGCCTCTCCCCCTCTCATGTGGCTTTTGAAGTCCTCGAGCATCATTGCCAACCGTCCCTGGCCACGGATCTTTCTCACAGTCGTCACCACGGCCATCGTCTTAACCATGGCCGTGTTCAACATGGTAAGCCCCGGGCTGAGTGAGGGCTCCCATGGCCTGTCCTGCTGGCATTTTGGAAACTTGCCCATAGCTCCTTTGCGACACCAAATGCTGCCTGTCAAATTCAGCATCTGATGGCTACAGGCAGTAGTTCCTCTAAGGAAAAGGGTGCTTTCTGGAAGCCACCTTGAGAGGGTGGCTCCTTGGAGCAGTTTCCCACTTCCTTGCTTGTGGTGGCTAGAGATGTGACGTGGGCTGTCTGCAGGGAAGTCACGAGGGATACTGGAACCCTCAAACTAAGGAGCATGCAGGGAGTGAGGTGTCCTGCCCTGCAGGTGAAAAAGCCTGATTGCAAACCCCAGCTCGCCAGCTGGCCAGCTGTGCAACTTGGGAGATGCTTTCGTTAAACTTCCCCAGGCTCTATTTTCACTTTCTCGAAAGTGAGAGCCAAGACGTCTCCTCCAAGGTGCTTCCGAGGATAAAAGGAACCAATGTTCCCACCACACTTAGGACAGTCCTGGGCATTTTGTAAATATCAAACCAATGGCCACTCTTCACCATATCAATTATCATCATTACTGGTATGTCCCCTGAAACACACACTGGGGTCAGCAGTGCACTTTGAGACACATCCTTATTAGTATCCTCACATCACCATCGTCGTCGTCACCCCTAAGGTGCTATGACACTTCATGTGTTGGAGACCTCACTAGCTACTGGAAATGCAGATTATGAGATGTAGCCCTTGCCTTCCAGAAGTGTAAACTAAGGTCGTGGTGCCAGACCATATATCCTTTAATAATAATACCATAGTTTCCATAAAGTAGAAGACATTTGTTCAGCAAAAATAAATATTCATGGAACACAAAGCTGTGCCTAGTACGTGGCTGGATGCTCGGAGCCCAAAGGCAGTTCTCTGCTTTCCGGGAGTCCCAGCGGTGTGTAGGTGACAGACGGCTGGTGCATCCCTATCAAGTCAGCCTGGGCCAGGCTACAGGCAGCCACAGCAGCCTGTAGAGAAGTCGCGAGGGGCGGAGGGCAAGGCCTGCTAGATGGGGCCCTGAAAGGTAGGGAGGAGGAATTGGCCAGATGGACCCAGAGGCAGTGAGGGGGTAAAAGGAGGTGGATGAAAGGTGAGAAGGGGGGACAACATTTAGATCCAGGACGAGAGCAGAAATGTGCATTACAAAGTAGTGAAAAATAGGCTAACAAAGTGGATATTTCTGGTAAGGGCTTGATTCAGACTGAATAGCTGGAAAATGTACCATGTCTGGACAACAAGTAATTCCCTGGAGAGCTGCTGAGCTCCGGAAAGACTTTCAAACCCAGGCTCAAGTGGAGACTTGCATCAGTCAGCCCGAGGCACCTGCTCAGGAGGGGCCAGACCGGCCTGCCAGGGGCGTCTGGCATGAAGCACGGCATGCGCGGCGTGTCCTTGCTGTGATCCCACAGCTGCCATGGGGCGGGGGCGGCCCCAGGGTGAAGAACACAAGACGAGAGACTTAAGATAGGGACAAGGGGAACTGTCCTGAAAAAGCCATTCTGCGGATACATCACTAGCCACGAGAATGCCTCACTTCTCCGCACAGGCAGTGTGTGGATACGACAAGGTTGTGAAGATGTCACAGGGGAAGCTGCACAGAGAGGCAGGCAAGGGGCAGTGCCAGAGACTGCAGAAACGCGAGCAGGTTTCCTAAGATGGGCTCCTCGGGCTCAGCTTTGTAGCCTGCATTTGTGCATTATTTCTGCCGCTCTAAGATCCAGCTCTCCGGAGAGCCCACTACCAAGTTCAGGGCAGAGTTTGGTAGGTGAAGGCTGCAGGAGACGCTGGGTCAGAAGCCAGCAACATTGCAGCAGGGCGGAGGAAGGACAGCCGGGACACGGGCTACAGTTCCGAGACACTCTGACAGCCACACAGGGGTGTTTGTTCAGCCACCCGGAAAGGGGGTGACTGACATGGCGCCCTTATAACTAAGCCGCCTCATCCCTCAAGGCTGTGCTCACTGGTGTGTGCGCAGAGCAAATCAAGCATAGTTCCTGGGAGTTGACCTTCTTTGGCCAGTAGCAGCATGTACAAGTTAGGGGACAAGATGTTTCACATGACATACACACATTTAAGAATGAGGTCTTTTTTCTTTCTTTTTTAACTGTATTAATTTAAGATGTAGAACATGATGTTTTAATATATATATACACACACATATATATACTTATATATATACACACATATATATGCTAATATACACACACACACACACACACACACACACACGGTGCAATGAGTACTATAGATAAGCAATTTAACACATCCCATCACCTTCCATAGTTATCTCTTTTGTGTGTGTGTGTACGTGACAAGAGCACCTAAAATCTATTCTCTTAGCAAATTGTCAATATACAACACAATGCTATTAACTATTGTCTTCCTGCTGTACATTAGATCTTCAGATTGTTCGTCCTACGTAACTGCAACTTTGTACCCATTGACCTACATCTCCCCATTTCCCCACCTTCTCGCCCCTAGTAACCACCATTCTACTCTCTGTTTCCATGAATTCAGCTTTTTTAGATCCCACGTATAAGTGAGCTCATGCAGTATTTGTCTTTCTGTGTTTTGCTTATTTCACTTGGCATGTCTTCTGGTTCCATCCATGCTATTGCAAATGATAGGATTGCCTTCTTTTTAAAGGCTGAATAATATGGGTGTGTGTATATGTGTATACATATATGTGTAAACCATATATGTATGTGTGTATATGTGTCTACATATATACACTCATACATATATATATACACAGACACACACACACACACACACACACACCATAATTTCTTTAGCCATTTATCCATCAATAGACACTTAAGTTGTTTCCATATCTTGGCTGTTGTAAATAATACTTCAATGAACACAGGAATGGACGTATCTCTTTGAGGAAATCTTTATTTTTTTCACATGGCCTAGGAAAGTATCCTCCATTCATTAGTTATTAAATGAAAAAATGAGTGAATGAATAGGTAGGCACACAAGTCTTTAAAAAAAATAAACCATTTCTTTTTGTAAAATCCAGTTTGACCTTATAAAACCTGGGTTTATCACCTGATTTTTTAAGACGACATAAACAGGAAACAAATCTGATTTTGAAAGGTAAGTGTATACTGAATAGCATAATGAATAATGATTGACAGGCCGTTCAGTCACTGTCTATAAATATTTGACAAGCTGCACGTTTAAGAGTAGAATATTTAAAACCAGTAGCTGTGATCCTTTAAAGAGAAGAAAGCTTTCTTCAGTATCAGAAATACATCTTTCCAGTGTTGCTTTTCTTCTTTGCAAAGAAAGTTCATTGTCAAGAGAGGTAGAGAAGTCTACAAAAGACACATTAAAAGTACTATGGACGATTTTTGAGAAAGAAATAAAATAAGGTTTTGCTCCGTGTACAGAGCTACCTTCTGCAGCAGTGGAAGCAAGGAATGAGATAAATGATATTTTTTTCTTTCCTTTCCATCTGTGCAGAGGGAGGGAAAACCAGAACTGCTCAGGTGGTTCCATTCTCTACCAGTGCAGGGGAAATGCCGTTTTTTGTTAGGACCTGGTGCCATGAAATTAGTGGTTGTTTTCCATGCAGGTGCTTCTCTCATATCTATGTCTAAGAAAAATCATAAAACAGCATGAAAGCTGACCCTGGCTATAGAGAGGAAATAATATTACCTAGCTGTAGAGCTTTCTTATAATTTCTTATTTATCACAGAAGAGGAAGCACTTGTCCTTGGGACTCTGCCTCTGATCATGCTTGAGGATTTACGGAGACAAGCCCTCCAGCTCCTCTGAGCCCCCTGGCTCCTGAGCTGTGACTGTATGAAGCAGACACCGCATCCTTGTCGAGTACCTCACTAGAGGTGCTGATGGCTGAGGTGGGGCAGGCAGGTTAGGAGTGAGCACCTGTAGGGGGAAGTGGGCTCGCCTCTCCCTCACTTGCAGTCGGGGAAGGCAACACCTTCTGCTGTGGATGCAGCTAATACTCAGTCTTCACTGACGTGCTGTTAAATGCTCCCAGTATTGTTTCAGTGTCTTTTTACCCATCTATCTAATAAATAAATTATCATAGTTTAGGTATTTGACAAGAGCTATGACATACAAGGAAATAAATCAGTAGAAACTATACAGGAAAGCTTTACTTTTTAAACCTTGAATATGTATGGTTTTATGCAGAAAATACAAGGTAGATTTATGGATGAGATTAATTTTTTTCAACAAATGGGACTTACCCAAGTCATAATTCTCTGGTTTATCTTTCCAGAA